ACAATACCATGAGTTTTGAGAAAAGACTGTAAAACAGTGCTAGTAAATTCACCCCCTGAATCGGAGCGAACAATTTTGATTTTATTGCCAAGAAGATTTTCTACATAAGTCTTGAACTCAACAAAAACAGAATACACCTCAGATTTGGACTATAAAGGAAAGAACCAACTGTATTTACTATAGTCATCAACAAGCAACAGATAGTACCTAGAACCACTCACAGACTGAACAGGAGCTGGTCCCCAAAGATCACAATGTAAAAGTTCTAAACAAGAAGAAGAACTAGAACGAATAGTACTAAAGGGTTGCTTGTGACTCTTGGCAAGTGCACAGTTGGAACAAAAAAAGTCCACAGAAGGGCGTCCTTGAAGAGCAACTTGTTGCTTGGAGATAACACGTCTGAATATAGAGGAAGAAGGATGACCAAGTCTACTGTGCCACACTTGAACTGGTGCTTTGACACTTATTAGAGCAGTAGGGGAGGAGGCAGAACATGGAGATGCCGTAGAAGAACACTGCAGAGGATAAAACCCATCCTTAACCGATCCCCGCAAAAGCGTCTTCCCCGTAGAACGATCCTTGACAAAGGATCCATCAGAATTAAGTGTCAAAGAATAGTAATTATCCTTGAGGAATTGATATGCAGAGAGTAAATTATGTTGCATGTGTGGTACATGAAGAACATTCTGCAGTTTAAATGTAGCAGAAGGAGTATGTAAACGGGAATAACCAATATTAGTAATTGTCAAACCTTTACCATCACCAATGTAGACTTTGTCTTCACCCCGATAAGGAGTAGGAGAGGAAATGTTAGAGATATCGTTGGTGATGTGTGAAGTCGCACCCGAATCAATTAGCCAAGAAGGATAGGGCTTGGATGAGAAATGAACACACATAGCTGCTAGTTTCGCATGAGGAACTTGGCAAAAATGTCCGGATTCATTCGATCAAAACAGTCAATGGCCTCATGACTGGTTGAGCCACAGATTTGACAAAGAGTGCCGCGAGAACCAGAATTAGGACCACGAGAACCTTGATAGTTACCTCGAAAGTGGTTACCTCTGTAGTGACCACGAGGTCCACGAGCAGAACCTCTGTAATTACCACGATGATTGCCTCTGTAAGTACTCCGAGAAGGCTGTGATTGAACAACAAAAGCTTGATGCGGCGGTGGAGTAGGCAACAAAGGAGGTTGTGAGTGAGCAGCAAAGGCATGAAAGGGCTCAATGGAGCTGGAGGGAACATGCTTATTCCGCCGAGACATTGACAATTCTTTGGTGATCAGTAAACCATGCAATTTATCCAAAGTTATGGTAGAGATGCGAAAAAGAATTGAATCAATAAAGGATTCAAACTCATCAGGTAAACCAGCCAATGTAGCAGCAATTAGGTCACGATCGGTGACAGGTGCACCAGCTGCCATTAAAGCATCAGAAATCTCCTTGATTTGTTGAAGATAATCAGAAATTGACTGTGATCCTTTCTGAATTGACTGTAGACAAGATCGTAACTGATGAATGTGAGCATCGGAAACTCCTCCAAAACGGTGCTCAAGCTTGAGCCATAGATCCCGAGACGACGATACATCAATGGTAAACGGAATCACTTCTTCAGACAGAGTGGAATTCAACCAGATTAGGAGATTATGATCCTTCTCATACCAAATCTCAAAGGCAGGATTGAGAGATTGATCAGGAAGAAGAGGCGGCGGACAGATGTCGGTGCCATTAACGATGCCAAGAAGCTTATATCGGCGCAAAATTGGAGCAAATAAAGCACGCAATGGAAGATAATTGGAGCGTTTAAGTTTGATAGGCACCATACTTCCAATGTTTTGAATCGTAAGAGAGGCATACGAATTTGAAGAAAACGAAGAATTTGAGGGATTAGGGTTTGGAACCTGCATCGACGCACTAAGAGAAGACGAACCAGACGGAGACGCCATGACAAATCACAGTAAGAGAGACCAAATTAACAACACAAAGGGTGCGATTGAGGAAGAACGACGAAGAATTTGAGGAAAATTGAAGAAGAAATCAGAGATTGGGAGCAAGAGCGAAGAGCATTGAGAGGGGGGAGTCGGGAGGCAAGAAGGGCGTGATACCATATAGAAACTGAACTTTCCTCTTTCATTCAATATCACAAATAATTACAACAATGTTAATATATATACTTGTGTCCTTTCTAACAGATTACACTAATGCCCTTAACCAATCTAACAATATACAAAACTATTTAACAACAAACTTAATGACTAAACTTTAGCTTCTTTACCATGCACCGCCACACGCAATGGTAGCCATGGTGAAGGGTTTGAAAACCCAAATTTTCAACCTTAACCCAAGAGGTTCAAATTCACGTGGTAACTAGAGCTCAACAAGGGAGACATTATTCACAACTAGACCAACGACAAATTTTAACCGGAATCATCCAAATTCTTTGGGAAACCAGGTTTCTAGGGTTCTAAACACCCAACTCTAAAACGAATACAAAAGCATGAACCAAGCATACCAACTTGAAGATTATGAAGAGTAGATGAACTTTCATATCTCACTTGAGGGAAATGGTTGCCGAAATCACTAGAAAAATGACAAAACCGCTGGAAAACCCACGGGACTATGCTGCATCGAAATGGAAAAATGGATAAGAAAATGGAAAATCTAACATTAGAGTTATAGGGCTCGTCAAGAGCTTTCCATGAACACCAAAATCACCCAAAACGGAGATCGGATGAAGGAGATATGAGCAGGTCAAGTTGGCGGGTTAACGGGTTGAAATCTCCCCAAAAACGGGTCAAAAATCAAACCCCCTCCCCCCCTTTTTTTTTTAACTCACTCCTGTCTAATCCCTTAACCCAAATATATGTTTTTTTTTTTTGGGCCTTTTACTCACAAGCGGAAGTTAAATAATTCCTACAAACTATAGTATCACAATTTCAAACGTCCGTAACTATATCGTTATAATTCGGACTCGCAAATGACTTTTGCCTATGCGCTCGTAGTTTCAAGATCTATTCGAATACGTTACTTGTGACCTCGAAAGGTCAACGAATTTTAGATAAATACTTTCCAAACTTCAAACTTTGTAACAAATTTAATTAAAATCTAATCCAAATAAATTAATATAAGTTCTCGAAAAATAATACAAAATCTTAATAATACAAATACGTAGATTATAACAGTGAAATCCAGAAACGGGATTTCACAAGTTAGTTCTACAAAGTTAGACCACTTAGGCACATTGCTCTCTGATCCTACCTTCTACAGATCAATTGTAGGTGCACTCCAATTTTTTACATTTACAAGACCTGATTTAGCATATGTTGTCAATCAAGTTTGTTAATACATGCATGCAACAAGGACAATTCATTTGCAAGTAATCAAACGGATCCTTAGATACTTAAAGGGTTCACTTGATTTAGGATTATGGTTTACTAAAGGTCCTCAGTACCTAACTGCTTGGTCTGATGCAGATTGTGCAGGGTGCCTTGTTGACAAAAGGTCCACCATGGATATTGTGTTTTTCTTAGTCCAAATCTCATATCTTGGAGTGCAAACAAGCAAAACACAATTGCTAGGTCATCTACAGAGGCAGAATATAGATCTCTTGCTAACAGAGCTGCATAAATTACTTGGGTGTGAAATTCTGCAGGACGTTTTTTTTCCTTTGCTAAAAACTCCTGCTATTTTCTGTGATAACAAGACTACCATTGCCTTAGCATTCAATCCAGTTTTCATGCTAGAACTAAACACGTAGATATAGACTATCATTGCATCGAGAAAAGGCTCTTTATGGTCATGTAAGTGTGCATCATGTCGCTTCTCGATATCAAATTGCAGATATCTTCACCAAATCCTTGGCTACTGATAGATTTGCATATTTGACTTACAAGCTTGCAGTTAGATCACTTACCTTTAGCTTGAGGGGGTGTGTGTTAAGGACAAAGAAGGTCCACCATCTAACCATAGATATATAGCACCAGATTAAATCTTAACTTAGCTGTTAAGATAAGTTTGCTAGACTATAGAGTTTGTTAGTTGTTATGGTGACTCAGCAAATATTGTAATGTATTTATACATTTGTACTCACTCATTCGATGTAATATGAGAGATACAACTTTAATTACTCTTTCTCCACAATTTCCCTCTCTCTCTCTCTCTCTCTACCTTCAATATTCTCCCAGAGTCATGAGTTTCTACAAGTTTTTCACTGTGAAACACAAAAGATCTTCATTTCTTTTTGTGTTATATTTTGCAGCATTGCACGTTATAATTGGTGCTTAAGTGGGATAATGATATTGCATTTGACAATTGATTGTCACTGGTTACCATTTGTCGTTCAATACAAACATAAGGCCGAGCTACTTATGCACGAGGAAATTGAACATAGTATATAATCACGAAGATGCATGTTACTTACGGGTCCATTTTAACACGATCACAATCCATTAGTTAACGGGTCCATTCGTTATAAACATGATCAGGTGTTAACCAAAATATTGAATTTTTCATATCGTTTCGTGTCACGTATGAATACGATTTGTCATGTCTAATGTGTATACATTATGTAAAGAAGAATGCTAGCAACTTTTTCACTTGAATCTTCTCGTTGTTCCTTATTGGCTTTCCTTCTCATCATGCAATATTGTTTGATGATTGCAACCTTCTACTTTCTAGATCACCCCTTAAGATTATCTTATGCAAAAAATTAACTAAATTTGAAATCGTTGAGTCATTTAATAAATAAACAAACCGTACTTTTCACTTAAGGAAGTAATTTTCAAGCACCGTTTTTAGCTTCTCACATACCCCTCTTTATTTATCAAAATTGAATCAAATACAATGTCTAATTTTGTTTGTTTAGAAGAAAAAAGCAAAGATTACGCTTCATCTTAAGGAGTTTCTCCCTCATCTTTTTGCTAAAAGCCGCTCATAGATATCAATAACGAACAAGTCCTACGAAAGATGAGGGCTGTGCAAAATTTATATTGAAATATACAATTTGGGAACTATTTATTTTATAAAAGATCAAAGGTAAAAAAGATAATACGGTAAAGTACAGCACAGTAATACATGGGTCGATCCAATTCACTTACCAAACGAGCCCTAGTTCTCTAGAACAAGGCCACAATCATCCTCCAGACTACGAGCCGACGATGTCAGTGGAAAGAATTCTTCATCTGGATAAATCCTATGGAAACTCTGTCAAGTACAAGCATCAGAACCAAATTTTACATATCAGATTATGAAAGATAAACAAACAAAAAAAATTGACAGATACTCTATAAAACCTATTTTTTTTCATTTTTAGCCCCTTTTCATTCCCAATTTTTTTGTGGGAAGCTGTCATCTTTCAGACACAACTGGCAAGACGTTTAAACACCCTCTTCTGGTCCAACACCAGTATTTCACAAGGGTGGGGGATGGGATCCCAGGGAGCGCCATATAACAAAGGAATAAAGCGTGATTCTACCATAGAGGTCCACAATAGACAGTAACCCCCTCCCCCCAGCGGGAACACAACTTACAATTTTCATCGTATTATGTTCTCCAAAGAGAGGGTGTAGGAATAACCAAATAAGGGTCAACATCAGGCGATTATGGCAACAAGAAATTATGCATAATGAAACACGGGATGTTAATAAAAAGATATACCTCTGCAGTTGCATCGATCAGATCATTGTAGTTCAGGTTTCCATCTGGCATGGGAGTTGAGATGAAATATTCATGTTGATCCTGAAATCAAAGCGAATCAAAAAATTCATGACAGGTCACACCTATATCAAGATTACAAAGTCCACAGCCACATTTCAACAAGAAGCTCCCTATATATGAATGTAATTGCAGACTACTTGGATAGATATGGTTATTCAGATATCTTTAATCTACATTATATGCGTTCCTCATTTTTCATTTTGACCCTGAATCATGGTGTCTCTATGTGCGGGTGGGGGCGTATCACTATTGAAGTGCATCATTGCCATGCGAGCAGAACTAATGAGAAAATAGTGCAAACTTATGAAGGTCAAGATGATTGGCATACCATGATCAGCTCCTGAATATACAACGTGCTCCATACTAAGGTTGGTTTTTTTTCTGCGTCTTCACTGTGAACAGTGGAACCATGACGATTTCCAGAGACAGGAAGTGTAAGAAGAGCATTCATGGCGGCATGTAGTGATCTTTTTCCTTGTTCGGCGTCATCACATAAAGCAGAAAAGTACAACATAAACCTGAACAAGAGAAGATAACAATGAAAAATTTAACAGATTCCTCATAAGAGTGAAGGCAGCCGCAGCATACATATGTATCTCCAATCAAATAGGTAAGCAATAAGTATATCAATAAATACACAATGGTAGCGACCTGGTAAACGTTAGAAGTCGAATTCTATTTATGTGAACAATCCCAAAAGGGAGATAGAGGAATATCCCTGACTGCATAAGAGTTATATTCATTGATAACAGTTAGCCACCCAATTTCGCTCACTTAAAAGTCGTTAGTGCCAAGTAGTTAGCAATCCATATCAAGACTACAGAAACAAAGACTTGACCAATTTCATTTCAGCTGTGTTATTGTCTATAAAACATTGGCATAAACTTACATGCCCTTCGGACAAACCTCAGCCGAACTGCCAGCTATCTGGATAGCCCGGATTGAAGTACGTTGTTCAGGGTACAAAGCTAGCGAAGGAAAGAAAGAAAGAAAAAAAGCGATGGATTATGTTTGTTATTTTGAAGAATATCATAGTAACATGACCAATATAAAGTCTTACATCCAGGAGGATATACAAGAAAACAATTTGATATATCTGGCTTCATGGAACTGGTTGTAATACATATTCCCCTAGCCACCTTTCCTTTATCATCTTTTAGACTTGCGCTCAGATCAGGTGGAGATGAAGCTGGTGGCAATGGGAACTTGAAGGTTGGGTCCAAAACTAGATGATGACTAAACAAATCCTGACCTGTGGATAATCTAACACCTTTATATTGCTCACTGTGCTGCAAAAGTCTCAACCAGTTACAAATATGAATTAGTTTGCAACTTTCACGTACCAAAGATTCAATTTCAAACATAACTATTCTCAATCTCATACCTTGTCCATAAGTACCGAAACTGGAACTCGTTCAGCCTGCATGGTAGATATCTTAGGCATAAGTATGAACTAGTGCATGTGAACATAACTTCAAGGGCACATTTGGTACCTAAGATTGGAATGGACTGGTAACTCATAAAATGGTATTTTGAAGGTGGACCTACAATTTTGTTTTGAAGGGGCGATTAGCAATTCATCTTTTAACTTCAAGTTGGCCACAATCTTTCATTTATTCCTTAATACAGTGGGTTGTCCATTCCAATCCAAATCCAAAACATTAAGGTAGCCCAATCAAGTACTTTTATAAAATACACGATACACAAATTTGGGAAATACAGAGACATGCAAAATTTCAAGACAGTAAAGAGCAAGTACTGAAAAAGACTAAATTAATGTATTGGCACAAAAATAAAAAAATAAATAAGCGTGCACATAAATGAAGAAGTATGTACAGGCCAATAATGGTGTAGGATACTTTTTCCTTGAAAAATAAGTAACAGATACTTCCACTTGAACTTACATAAACGCAACCCTTAACAGCAGCACGGCGGCAAAAGGCGTATGATAAGTCCCCATGACCATACTTTGGATAAATCATAGCCTCAGGTGCATTAGTCAACCTAATAAGAAGAAGAACCCCTAAAGAACTTATTTAGGGCATACAAATGTACCTAGCTTCTTATAAATATATACGCGCTGTAAGTATTGAGATAAGATACATACTGAAACCATTAGTTGAAGTATGAAACATAACACATCAAAGAAAAAAAAAACTTTTGAGATTTTATTCAATGAATTTGATGGGACTCCACCTATTTAAACTTCCTACTTGTTTCCCCTGCTAGAGAGATGAGCTTATCTTTCATAATCATTAAGTTGATCACTAAACAGTGTACAATTTCTCAGTTTTCTATTATTCACAAGCACATCTCTTTCGTATCTATAATTAGATCATAGTTTATCTAAAACAGAACACATTTGATGGTATCAATACTGTATAGAACCAGGTTAAGAATCACTAGAATAATACTACCTAAAATTTAAAAATCCTACGATAGCTGGTGAGTACAAAATAGAAGGGACATAACTAACCTCGATTTCTGGTAGAGTGCTAAGCGCTCTATCCCTTCTCTTGTTTTAAGTATGCTTTTACAAAATTCCAAGTTGTCTTGATCATAGTCTACCATGGCAATGCCATATAGAATAATCCTACACACGAAAAGATGACACAAATTCTCAGCATATTGAAGATAAAAAGTATTCCGGAAGGACTACAAACTAACATGAATAATCAGACAAACTGATGCGGTGATTGTTAATATTGTTTACCCATAAATGTCATAAGTAGAAAGAACTTGAAGCTATTACATTCCTTCCTAGAGAAACGAGATGAATGAAAATTAAAAAAACGAATATTTTGTTCTGGTGTAGAGCATAAAGGCAAACAATTATTTGTAGAAAAACACAAAACAGAGTTCATAAATCAACTCCTTAAAAAACTGCAAAAAACAGCAAAGAGTGGTAAGGGTATCATGTGAATGCTTAAACTGCAAATAACAAACGCTCAATGGCAAAAAGTTAAGAAATAAAATATCCAAAAAATTAAGAGCACTTCTACCAAGACAATTAGGAACATAAACATTCTGATGAAAAAAAAAATATCAGAATCATAGAATTCATAATAAAAATAAATAGAGGCAGGGTTTGTGATATATACGATTTTATTTTGTGTGGCAACTGCATTCTCTTTAAGAAGTCAACAAAGGGGCTCTCCAAATCTTCCTCCAAAATTTTGGAACTCTCGCTATTTTGACTCCCTTCGTCACCGCCATCAGAGGCTGCCAAGTGCTGCCAAACAAGCTTGAAGAACTTCATTAATTTGTTCTTCTCTATAAGGCTTAGGCTCTTGTCCTTAAATATTGCTCCTCGAGAATCTGGAACATTCCATAACTGCCCTTTCCCATCAAGAATGAAGTTCGCATCAATGCTCTTAACTTGGTGATACACACCTGATTTCAAAATAAGGTCAATGGCTTTGTCAGCACAAAAGAAAACCCTAGGCCCGCCAAGATCAATGGTGAATCTTTCAGGTTGATGTTTTGCAAGGATTTCAGGGGCATAGGTGGCAATCTCCATGTTGGAGTATAACAACTGGGGGTTGAGGTCCAAAACGGTGTAGTCATGGTCAATACTTGTAGGGGTCATATTGGCGCTGGCAGTAGAGGATGGAGTAGCATGGGAATGTATGAAGGAGGTGAAATCATTGAGATGAAGAGAGGCAAAGTGACTGCCATAAGAGTTGTAAGGGTCAAGCTGGAGGACAGTTTTTCCGGCAGCAGAAGCTGCGGCAGCAATTACTGATCCAAGGAGACCCGTTCCAATAATAATAAGGTCAAATGTAGCGGGTTCGATGGGATCATCAGAAGAAAATGTTCTCATGGCTGTGTGAAAACGTTTCAAACTTGTCAGAGTCAACTAAAAGTCCCGCCTTTGCAAGGACTAACAACAGGAGTGTCTCAGCACACTAAAATGCACAATATAAGCAAACCACCTATAAAAAATAAAAATAATTATTATAGACCAAATAAAAAGAACGCTCAATGCTAATAATACTGTTGGAGAACAAGCACATATATTTTTGAAAAGTACAAGGGCGAACCTTGGAGCAACGGAAAGGTTGCTCTTTTGTGACCAAAAGGTCACGGGTTCAAGTCGTGAAGACAGCCGCTTTGCAAAGCAAGGGTAAGGTTGCATACAATAGATGTCCCCCCGGTGACCCTTGCAAAGCGGGGAGCCTTGTTGGCTTGATCGCCCTTTTACTTTTGGGTACTAATCAGGCACGTCTTGACTCTCGGGATTTGAAAATGGGGTGGGCTGAACTTTTTCCAAATTGTCCCAGTTCATAAAATTTCAGTAACACAACCAAAAAGCTGCAATCTGTAACCAAGATCAATCTAGTAACACTACTAAAAACCCGAAATCTGCCCACAAAATAGATGATGACAGCATCTACGACTACGGGAATCGTCATTAAGCGTCATCCGTTGCCTTTCCTCAAGCCAACACAATGACATGACTTTTTTGATAATTCAATATCCTATCATATTGCATCACAACTGAACTGAATGAACAAAACTCTCAGTATACAGACCCCTTCAAACATTCGATTAAACACCATGATATTATACACTTTACGTAAATTTCACAAACCTTAACGCTAGAGTAAACAACAGCTAAAACCCTAATTCCTAAATCAGTACCTAATAAATCTCAGAAATTATTGCAAGAAAAAAAAATAAGAGTAGAAGAAGAGGAGGAAAAGGAAAGAGGAAGAAAGAAAATAGAGAGAGGGCGCAGAAGAAGGCGACTTACATATGGAAGGGTCGGAGTGAATAGAAGAAATCCAGCAAATCAGTCTCAGAAAGCGGAGTCCTCGATTCTTTCCAAAAATCATACAACGGCGGGAAAGAGAAGAAGAAAGATGGAGGGAATAAAAAGGGAAATTGGGTTCAGCCTTTCAGGCCCGTAAGGATGGGCACAGTTTGATTAAGTGGGGTTCTGAGTGAAATTGAAATTGAAATTGAAACTTTTTACGGTTTGATTCAGTGTAATTTTGAAGTTAAAATTAAAATGAAATCAAATCGTTTGGTTTGATTTGGTACGATTTTAAACGGTTTCGGTTTGATTTCAAATCATTTATATACAAAATGAGAAAAAAAAAAATCTCTTACCTTCCTCTCTCCCCCTGAATATTATAAAGAAAAAATTGTTGTAGAATTAGTGGGTGAATGCCCACTCAAGGGAATATAAAGACTTAGGAATAGTGTTTGGTACTTTCAAAAGTATCGTCATTGTATTTGGATGGTTGTAGTTACAGAAGTTGCTCTATAAATAGAGCACTCTGTGTGCTAGCTAAAAGTACACTGCAAAAGAAAGCAAGAGAAATAATATCAGTATCTATCACCTCCTCTGCAATAATTTTGTGTTATAGTTACAGTGCAATATTTTACACCTGCTTCACTCATATCCTTAGCAAAGGTTATCTCTATAACTTTTACCTATTTATAACACGTTATCAGCATGATTCTCTAAACTTAACTAGTTCCATCTCCCATCATCAAAAAATTAAAAAAAATGCTTTGTCCAAGGGTTTTCATGTTCTTCTTCCTCCTCTGCCTCATCTGCATGATATACCCTCGCAAAGAACTCCTACCACCATGCCTGCTTCTCGTTCTCAATTTAACAATTACTTATATCTTTGATTTCTTGTTTGGTGTAGTTCCTGATTACTAACCCAGTTATTTATGTTAATTTTACTTAATCAAAGATGGTGCAGTACAATCGCTCATCTTGAACTGCAAATTCAATTTCACTGCGATCAAAGATGGTGCGGTACAATCGCCCATCTTGAGCTGTAGACTTAAATTTTATCGTAATTTTAGGTGGTGCGGTATAATCGCCTACCCTGCTCTGCATATTTAAATTTTCCTGCTGTTTAAGTGGTGCGGAATAATCGCCCATCCTATGCTTACTTTAATGAGAATGATGCGGTACAATCGCCCTTCTCATTAATCATGTAAATCTCGAGCTTGAAGTTTCGAATGCTTATCATTTTGGCCTGAAGATCAAAAATGAAAAAATTGTAAGAACTAGAAGTTCTAACACTATATTCCTTTAGGAATACATATTATTTCAAGTTTTTACACATCTCATCTTTCTTTCAGAAAAGAAAATGGCGAACTTGACAAAACTTGATTTTGTTACCTTGGACATTACTAGGAAGAACTACCTTACCTGGGTAGTGGATACCAAGATCCATTTGGAGGCAATGAATCTTAGAGAAACCATTAGGGAGGAAAACAGTGCATCCTCTCAAGATCGAGTGAAGGCCATGATCTTTATTTGTCGCCGCCTTAATGAATGACTAAAGAGCGAATACTTAACGGTTGAAGATCCATTAGTTCTCTGTAAGACATTAAGAAACAGATACAATCACCAAAAAACGATGATTCTTCCAAGAGCTCGTTATGAGTGGACTCACCTAAGGATCCAGGATTTCAAGTCAGTGGCTGAGTACAATTATGCGATGTTCAGAATTAGCTCTCAGATGAAGCTCTATGGGGAAACCATCACTGAGGAGGATATGCTGGAAAAGACGTTCAACACATTTCATGCCTCCAACATGCTCCTACAGCAAGAGTATAGAGAGCGAGGTTCACTGAATACAACCAACTGATATCTGTGCTCTTGGTAACTAAACAAAATAATAAGCTCCTGATGAAAAATCATCAGTCTCGACCTCCTGGATCAACACCATTCCCAGAAGTGAATGTTGTTTTCCTCAAGGTGAACACCACATCCTCTGGTGGCAATAATCATAAATGAGGACATGGCCACAAGTGAGGCCAGTGGAACGAGAAAGGCAAGAATCATGGTGTCCAATTTCACAATCAGGTTCCAATACAAAATTCAGGTCTGAGCTTTAAAAATGTAAATCGTCACAAAGGCAAAGCTCATATGAACAATGCTCCTAGAAACTCTGAAGGAACTTGCCATAGGTGTGGTGGCTATGGACATTGGGCGCGTACATGTCGTGCCCCAAAACATCTGGTGGATCTATATCAAGCCTCCCTTAAGGAAAATGGTGTCGAGACCAATTTCCTCGACTAGGCTAGACCAATGGATATACCTGATCCAGTACTCAACTTATCAGGGCAGTTGAACACAACTCACCTAGATGTTTCAGACTTCATTGTGGAGAGAGGGAATAAAGTGTACCGGTCCAATTGAATCATTTATGTTTGATGTATTTTTATTTTGAACGTGTAGTTTAAAACTCACATTTCAATTCAATAAAAGTGGCATTTCAATTTCCTTTTATTATGAATAAATTGTTTTTGGGTTCACAACTTTTTATTAACTATTAAATTATTAAACCCATTTGTAATTTTTTTTAAATTTAATTAGACTTGTGTGATCCATTTAGATTTTTTTATAGAATTGTGACGGAATGACTATAGTGATTTGGGACACTTACTTGTCGGACTACATTGATCGATTTTCAATTTCAGGGACCATTTTGATGTTGCAAGTCAATTTCAAGGATCATTTTGTTGTCGCGGGTCAATTTCAAATATCATTTGTCAAAAAAAAAAAAGACTTATGGGATCCATTTATGTGCCACATCAACAATTAACGGAATTTTTAACAAAATTGTGACAAAATGACCACATTGATTTGTGATACCTATGTTCAGCGACTACATTGATTAATTATCAATTTCAATGACCATTTTAATAGTGATGGTCAATTTCAAGGACCATTTATGAAAAAAACCCCTTTTGAAAAAGGATTGGGAGAAGTTTGTTGTCTTTAGATTTTGGCATAATTGGATTAATGAAGAATTGACGGAATTTTCAATTTTGAACCTAAATTCTAATAGACTTCACTACAGACACTTAAATCTTTTTTTTGTTTTTTTATCACATGAGCTATCTTCCGACTACCCTATCACCACATAGACTAATAATCCAATTAAGCCTTAAGACTAAATATATAATTTAGCACTATTAACAATAAATGTCATTTCCAAACTAAAACTATCAATAGTGCCTGCGCGATGATGCGGATTTTAAAACTGTATAAAACATGCAGAAAATTCTAAATACACACGATATGCAATACTTTTTACATACATATAGAAATCTATTTACAACGATATGGATTGGCAGTTCTATTGTCATTGTTCTAATATTCACATCTTTTACAAATTGAACTCCTAACTATCCTTAATCGTAGGAAATTTTTTGTATATAGTATTATTTACATACAAAAGATAATATTTGATGTGTGTTTACATACTATTTACACACAAAAGATTGGGTAGATAGTCCCTATTGATATCCTCATGAAATATGCAGATAATCAGCTTATTTTACCCAATCATAACCAAACTGTGTGGTTGCAACTGACTTTAAGTTGTTAATGGAACAAAGTACCTGAAGTCGAAGATAAACCTGGTGAATGTAGAAATCTTCAAGCCCTAAACAAATTGGCCTTGCTTTTTACAACAAAACAATCCTTTTGTTACAAAAAATTACAGGAAAAACTTTTAAAAGTGGAAATAAAATTAAGTCAAATGATTAGGGAACCAGAAGTCTACTGGACCATACACATAAATAAAATTTAAATTAAAAAAAAAACAATCTCAGATACACAGAGCATGACAATTTTAAACATACAAAAGCGAAACAAAATCATCAGAGCAAATAATAACATGAAATTGAAAACTCATTAACAATTTATTAAGCATATATAGGTACACCCAACAGATAATCTTATTTAATCACACCATTTTAATTTATCAAACTGATTATTTAATACTATTATGCATGACAATATTTTACCATAATGAACTCTGACAATACCCTCTCATCCCATTCACATTTTTTGTTAAAATTTTGTTTGCTTTACTTCCATCCATAAGTTTAATATATTTTCACTGTTTTTCAAATCTTGACGAAACTATGAAGACACAAACAACATCACTCAACTCTTTTTTCAACCGTGTAACCAGTTACACAAATAAGAATGCAACATTTTTATTAAAGCATGTAATTCTCCTTTTTCTATATTCTTCCCCTTTCTCTAACCAAATAAAAATTTCCAAAACTATATACAAAACTTTTTTATAAAGAAAGATACATAATTAAAGCAAACAAAGAAAAAAAATGAAAACTGTTTGTGAGATTGTATTACTTTGTTAGCAACCAGCAACAAAATGTTTCATCTTCTCACCAATTAATAAGTCAGTAAACAAATGACTAAACTTTCTTCATCACAAAAGGCTAAAAGCAAAAACAAAAATCACTCACCTTAATGATAAAGCACTTTGAACAGTCGCATCATCTCATTGTTTAGAAATTGAAAATCTGTAAAGTGTTAACATCTAAACATATATAAAAAATGGCATCATCACTTGGATTATTTTTTTAAGAAAATCGATGACAATTGTAACATAAACATCGAAACACCAAATTAAATACAGAAACATGGCAACCCATAACATAAACTAAATTCCAGATGAATTGAAAACAATATTACAACAACAGAACTCCAAACGTAAAAAAAAATCCCAAACCAATTGAAAAAAAATAACCAAAACCAAAACAGACCAACTCAGGGTCATTGACACCATTATTTCAAGAAAGTTTCCCAATACTGATGAAGCGACACTTCTCCCTTGCCTTGGAGCAGTCTTTTACTTTCAGGTTTCAACCAGTGAGTATATTCAACCAATAACTGAGTTTGAAAATATACAACATAGATAATAATTTTCATGAATTAAACTCAAATCATATATATATATGAAATCCTTTTAAATCATGTATAATCCAAATTCCAGTCCCAAAAAAACCATAATTTTAAAAACTACAAACATGCAAAACCCAAATCAAATCTTCAAGTCATTTCAAATTTTATCAATAACTCACCAACCCAATAAACACAAAAGAGTAAATTACCTGAGATCGCGGCTGCTCAAGTAGTTTCTAATGACATGCAGATTGTGCCTTTAAGTTTCAAGGTTTTTACTATGGAATCGAAACAAAACCCATATCAGATTCTAAGTGGGTTTATCAAAAATAATAATTTATTCAAGAATTAATACTGAAAATAAATAAAAAATTAACACTGAAAATAAATTAAGAATCCAAAAAAATTGAAATTTTCACACCTTTAAGTTTCTGGGTTTCACTGTGGAATCCAATTGAGAACCACCTAAAAAACGAAATCACGTACGCTGAAAAAATGCAAAAATACCCGAACACGTTAGACTACATAAGCAAAAAACGGATTTCAATCGTTGAAAAAGGCAGAAATCTGTAGCCCCTCCATCGTTCATGAATCGAGCAATTTTCCGGAAGAAAAACGAAGGTGAATAATTGGACGGAGAAAGTTGCAAAGGGTGGACACCAAGAACAACACCGGCGTGGAAGAGAAAAAACGTTCGACAATTTGCAGAAGCTGAGGATGGAAAGAGGGAGAAGTGAACATAAAGAAAATGCAACGAAGAAATCGAAGGAAAAGGATTGGCGATGATAGACACGTTGTCACAGAGGGCAATGTCGCCATTTTACTAGCCAAAAAGTGGAAAACCCGGACAACCAAGAGCAATTTTGGGGCATTATGGGTAGACCCGGCAGTTTCTGACACGACACGAAAATGACACGAAAATAGCAGGTTTCGGGTCAACATAATCACTTATAGGGTCATTATCGGGTGACCCGTTAAAAACCCGTTAATAACGGGTGTAAACGAGTTTTTAACGGGTATACACGCAGGTAACACGTGGGTAACCCGTTTCGACCCGTTAAGAAAAAATTTATTTTGATAATTTTAAAGTTTAATTACTAAAGATTTATTATAAAATACAATAGTCATATTAGTATATACAATATATTCTATATTAAATATATAGTTTTGTATTATTATTCTATATATGTTTTAAAAAAAAAGTTTTAGTCATTATTTATTTTAATTATGAGTTATTATCATTACTAGGATAAATTTTACTTAACATGTTGTTGTCCAAAATTAAAATAAACTAATATAGTATTTGTATAGGTAAGAACTAAGAAAACATACATACAAGTATGAAAAATGTGAAAGGATATATAAACACTTGTGATTCATCATTATTCCTCCACGAGTAGATAATGGTTACACTTACATTATCGTTTAGATTTTTACAATCCTCCAAACCTGTCACAACCCGTCCCGAAATTTCATTTATTGCGAATGTGAAATGACGGAATTGCCCTTAACAGTTGCTAAGGTACGTGTGACAATTTGTGGTTTGTATACAATTTGTGGTTTGAATATTGCATACTCTCCTAAATTCTTGGAAATTTTTAAGTGGATTAAAAGTTGTATACAATTTGTGTGGTTAGGGACTTAAAGAATTTTGGATTGTGGTTTGTTTTGGGTGGACCACACACACACACGAGACACGCACACTCACCTCGTGCCCTCTCTCTTCTTCCTCTCAGTTCACTCTCTCTCTCTCTCCCTTTCGAACTTGTACGGACAAGAACCAAATCCCTTCAAAACTTCACGGATCGACGTCAAAAAGGTGAGTTCCTTCATCCTTGCAACCTCCTGAATCGATTGGTACTATTTTTTGAACTGGAAACCCTCGAAATCAGGTCGAAACCGTAACCCAGTTTGATGTCATTGTTCATGCACACGTGAAATGTTGGTTTTCAGGGAATTCTAAGCCTACAGGGAGCTTAGTGAGGTCCCAAGGAAGTTCGGAGTACTTAGTTTGAAGGTTTTGGACGTCGGGATCGCAAGGTTCGAAGTTGGCCGATTTTCTTGGATTTTCTCCGGTAATATTTCGTGTGTTAGCCTTAAATTAATGCATCGTGATTCTACATGCTTAGGGCTTCATTTTGGTATAAATTGCGTAAAAAATGGTTGAGAATTGACGGAGAATAAGAAGTTTGAAAATAACCCAGAAACCGGCGACTTTTCCGTCGCCGATGAAACCAATCCGACGACTGGAGGTAGGGGATGACGCGCATGGGGGTGCGTAGGCCCGTGCCATTTCTGGCGTGTGAGGGCGAGTGATAGATCCAATTTTTTTTCTAAAAATATCTCGACATCCGTGACGTCAAATAGGTCACTATGGTATATTCATATACCCAAATTGAGCATCGTATGAGAAGTTATTACGTATTGTTGGTTATGTGCTTTAAAATAATGTTTTTATAGTTGTTTCGCATATAGGTGAGACCTATCACGAGGACGAGTGCATTCAAGGGCGTCACGGGGGTTACGACCCTTCGACTTACCAATGAGTGGGCAGTTATTTTCTGTTTATACCTATATACTACTGATTTTTCCCTGAAATTGAATTTAAATGAAAGTATGTTTTAAAATGCCATGCATGCATAATTTATGAAATATATGAATTAGTATTTGATGCATATATGTGAAATAGTGTTGTGGACGCACATGTGAGTATCAAGTGAGTTTTATGTTGTTCATGTGGTTTATTGATGATGTGAATTGTGTTGAGAGCTCATAACCTGCACCCCTGGTGTTAGTGCTTATATTATTCACCCCGCACCACACGCTCACCTTGGATCCAAGTAGGTGCATGTCGTACATACCATTAGAGGTGGTTCCGACTTGTAGGTGACTTTAGATTATTATACAACTGTTGATGAGAGAAGCACTAGAGCGTATTCTTACACCATTCTTGTCGTACAGACTACTTCAGGTAGTTCTTATTTATGTGCAGAGTAGTGCCGTATAGGTCACAGTGGTGACTCCGGTTGGATTGGATATTGAGCTATAGAATTAACCGTACAGGACAGCTGCAAGATCTCCGGTTGATTCCTTATTTCACCTGTTATATTGATGCATCCTTATCATGTTTTGAATCATAGCATGGCATATTCTTGAAAAGTGTTAAAGACTTGTGCTTTGAGTTTTGCTGTTATATATAGTTATGTATATACTATTTTTCTGGGAAAGTATACATATTTTACAGCGAGGTTAAAAGTGTTGTTAAACGAAATATTTTCGAAAAGCTTTGTTTTACTGACCCACTCAATCTTTGTCACGCCTCGATCCCAACATACGTCCAGGATCGACACGCGACGTCACCAAATACTCGTATATCGAACATACCTTGCCTCATGGATATGAATAAAGCACCACTCAAGGTCCAAATTGTGTAGTAATTTCCATATATTTTATGGTTGCATCTAACCTTCTCGTTAGACTGCCTACGTACCCTCAACAGGGATTAAGTCATTCGTAGTTCGTCTTCGTTATAACTCGACATATAACACAGTCTGTTCAAGTCAAAATGCATAACATTTCTCAATCAAACATTTGGACTTGACAAGCATGAATTATTTGATTTAAACTACATAACAACCCGCATGACAATCAAGGTTTCCATTTCATCCATCATATAAATCATTATGTTTCAACATAAAATCGCTATTCATATCATGAAATATATCAAAGAATCAACATAGTACAATAGTATCCTCTAGTTGCATTGATCACTGATCTAATCGTATTACTAACAATCATATTCAACATCCTTCCACAATCATCTCAAGTAACTCATTCCATGATATCAAGGAGGCACAATATTAACATTTAATTATGTTAATCAGTCAATCAGATCACACCTCAATGCACAAAATTAATAAAGGATTTCTACATAATTCCCTGCCTGGATTTCAAGAAATAACTTGATAATTCTAATTGATTTTCACAAGATCTATTATGGGTACATCACATTCACTCGAATCTAGGGAACAAGTCTAACATATGGAAATGAGTAAGAGTAGGGATTCCGGACCACTCAACGTAATCCAAATCAGGGTACGATTCTAGACCATCACTCAACGGAATCGCGGAGTACAATGCATAACCACCACTAAATGAAACCCAAGCTGGATACGATTCCGGACCACTCTACGGAACCGAGCGGAAGGCCAACATCCATAATGTACAATGGCTCAAAGAAACGAGACAAGGCACAAGTTACTCAATTTACAAAAGCTCAACAAAGTGAAGCAAGGCACAAACACTAAATTTAAATCGAATCAACGAAGCAGGAAATGAAACAATATCGATGCAACAAATCTCCATCACAATAGGTTACCGGTCCACTACAAGCCCTCACATTTCATCACAACATGCCAATCGTACAAATTAGACCATATTCCACAAACATTTCAATGCACAAATCCAAAACATACTTAATAAACAAGTATAATATAATACGGTACCACTAGTACATCAATCGATTCACACGTCAACCGAGGAAACACGTCATCACGATGAACTTGTCAAGTTCCATGAAATCTCAACCACACTTTAAACTCAAAGGTACGCTATAAGAACTCCAGCTAGTTGACGGATTTCACTATACGTACTTCCAATGGAATGCTTTGGTTAATTAAACTTGAGCACAGAGCCATACCCTAAAGCAGATCATCCCAATCTCGGAGGAATATGCCGCTGCTACATCTTTCTCAAGTACAACCCTCCCATAGTTTACTCTCTTTTCAACTGCGCTGTTTGTATCGTTAGTCTTTACCTTCTTTGCACTACCTTTCTTTCATCACAAAGCGTAACACATTTCCTTGTCGATTCATATAAAAAAATCCACGAACTAAACCTCAGGAATCCTTTATACAGGAACATTAAATTATCCCGCCCTTACACTATCTTCCCAAAAAATCATCAGCCATGACATTGACATAGAAAAGAGTGGAGATGTCTTATTGAATATTTGCCTAATGCTACAGATTATATGAAGTCCCCCGTCATTGCATCAAAATTGAATAAGCACGATAAATAATTCCTTTATGTGCAGAACACAAGAAAGGAAATGCAACCAATAAAACATAAAACATAAAAAGAATAAACTCATTTATCCTGAATTCAATAAGACGTTGGCACTTAACATCAGCATGCATTAATTGGACGAATGTTTACGATAATGAATCAGTAACAAACATAAAGATAACGAATAGTAACAAGAAGACTAGAAAATTCTTCCGCTATTGAAGAGAGGGTAAGTGCTTCAGCTGATTGGCCTAACTCACATCTTACAATAGGGTATAACTTTGCTATCGGATAATAACTAACGCTAATTATATAATATTATGAGTCACATAAAGAGGATATATTGTGAATCAGGTGATCATGGTTTAAATTGTCTATTAAGAACCATCGTCTCTGTCGTATTCTCTTGGACTAAGAATGTAAGCATATAATTCTACAATTAATTATTTATCTCAACCATTTTGCAATTGTCTAGCCACTCGTTAATTCGTCCAAGCTTTCACCCTCGTGGTCATGATTCAAGCATATACACATATACAATAGCTAGCTTACGTATAACTAATATTAATCTACGAGGAAGATTGGCACGTATATCTCCAGGCTTGCTTAAATTTAGAAATACTTAAATCGATTGAAAAGGCAATGGATGGGGAGAAGAACATGTACCTGTTTGAGCATGCTTTCTTCCCTTCTGGCCTTGTCCACTGACCAAGTCATACATGGATTTAAGACATCAAGTGGTATATCTGACGCGCACCATGTCTTTCTATTTCTGTTGTAGGCAATATCGGAAGTGGGAATGTGAGTAAGATTAGAGGACAGGGAAGCAAGATGATCGCAAGATGGTGCCTCGACCAACCCGATTCAGCTCCGCAAAATAATTCTTCCTTGTTTTCTAGAAATGGGTCTTCCTAAGCAGAAGAAGAACCAACTCGGGCTGCCACGGAGGAACACAGATAAGTCTCCCTGTGAACAAAGCTACGAACTTCTGCCTTGTTTGGTGGTTTCTGGAAAAATCGAGGTGACAAACGTGATGGGCTCGACGAGGACTTGAGTTTAGATCAAGGAAGAAAATATCGGTGATATCGGAAATATCGGTAGTCCGAAAACACGGAAATATCGATGGAAATATCGGTAAAATATCGATATCGATAAAAATTACATGGAAACCACGGAAATTGTAAGAAAAACTTGGAAATTTTTATTGAAACTTTGTAGGATGTTTATTTAGTCAATTATCTATTAGTTTATCACAAAAAATTGGAAGGAAATGCATTGCATGATGGATTTAACATTATCAAGTTGATTATATAGCGATCTGACAAACATTATGAGTGTAGAAAATATGTAGTAATTAATGAAAGAAGTCTAAACACACCATAATCATTTATATATAATGAATTAGTACAATATTTTACACTTTAGAACCACATAGAGTTCCTATGAGGTTCAAATTTGTCACTATCTTCATCATCTCTATGTGTAGAATGAGTGTATTGTGAAGAGTAGTTATCAAATGATAAATCCCCAAAATAGTTTTTGCATGTAATTGTTAATATGCCACCCATATGGATCCGAGATTGGTTGAGGTTGTCCATAAGAAAAATCATTTGAAGATTGAGGCTGGGATTGATTCCATGAGTCGCTCGATTCCATCCCAACAGGAATGGGATATGAAGGGTAGGGAAATGGTTGGTTATGAGGATAACCATAGTTACTACTTCCCAATCCAACAGAGTCTGAAGTTCTAGATAACGAGTCATCTTCTTGACTTGACAAAATCTTTTTGCCTCTTTCTCTGCGAGTATAGTCCTTCCCTATGGCACCAATTCCTGGTCCTGCCCGCCTACTGCCATGGTCATCATCCTGGGTTGCATGCGTGAAGTTTGCCTCACCAGTGAAGGGGCTCATATATCCGGGAGGTGGTGGTCCATAATAGTTTCCATATCCACCACCACTACCTCCAGCTCCACTACCTCCAGCTCCACTATGTCCTTCATCATTCCCACCTCCGGTGGTAGGTGAGTCTCCTGATCTTGTACTAGAGCTATCATTAGTATCAGCACGATGTTGTGGTTGTGTAGGATTGGAAAAAGGTGGAATTCCAGTGTTGCTTGGTCTTGGCTGCAAAAGTTCTTCGAAAAGAGTCAGCGCTGCTAGATCCCACCTCCTCCTCTAATACTCTTTCTACATTTATCCCTTCATTACGTGCTTCTTCAGCAACTCTGGGAGCTGGGTTGCCTTCATCATCATCTAAATGAAGAGGTCTAATCCATTGAAAAAGTTGGTTACCCTCCGTATCATCATCTTCACCAACAATATCAAACACATCTAGTGGGTCACCACGGTCGACATGATCGATTTCTGCTTCCTTATCTCGAATTTGAAGCTTCATGTTGTAGTAGCAATAAACTAATTTTTCCAAGCTACTATGAGCCAACTTATTTCTTTGCTTTGTGTGGATGAGTGCAAATGTGCTCCAATTTCTTTCACAAGCAGATGAGGAAGCCGTTTGTGATAATACTTTTATTGCTAACTTTCTCACAGTTGGTGCATCGGTCCCATACATGATCCACCATTCAGCTACAATGAAAAATAATGTTGATAAGCCTAATAACTCCAACAAATTCTATTATAAACTTATAGTGAAATATGTTTATACTCACTAGGAGACATATTTGTTCGAGCAGCAACTGATGTTGGTTCTCCAAATGTTCTTCTTGCATCTTTAAACCATGTTAGCTGAATACAATAAATTGTGTTAGTTTAATCCAACAAAGTAATTATTATAATTTAAGTAATTGTGTACCTCATTTCCAAATTGGCCAACTGCTGGTGATGCAGGGTCTAATTTATTGTATACATTATGTACAGCACGTATAAGGTTACCATCATCTCCAACACCGGGTCTATATTGGTATCGGGGATTCTAATAATATGCTGTTCAAAGAAACACATACTCTAATAAGATAAATAATACTTATGCAACTAAAGAAATGAATTGCAAATTATGACATAATTTATACCTGCTGCATGCAAATCGTGGTATAATGTTTTATACCATCGGTCTTCAATTATTTTTACGACCCACCTTGCACCATGTTTTTCTTTCCAATTCATCCTTCACTACACGCATCAACTCATATACAGCCCCCATAGTAGGATACACTTCTGTGTCAACGATCCGTAAAACTTTGTAAAGAGGTTCAAACACTTGACACACATGTTCTGTTTGACTCCAAAAAGCATGATCAAGCACTATACTTTCCACCATACGACCTGTATTTGAGCGGCTGAAATTGTGGTTGGCCCAATCGTCACTAGTGAATAGTTGCTTCAACCCTGCTTTCTTCTTGAGTAGGCTGTTTAATGCAATATAGTTGGTGGCGAATCGAGTGGTAGCTGGACGAATAATTTCTCCTCTGCAAAATTCACGCATCTTTGCCAACAACCAACCGTGATTGTAAATATAATTAGTGATCGTTCTAGCTCTTTTGACCACAGTAGCAACATTCTCTCTCTTCCCCATTGCCTCAAACATAAGATCAATACAATGTGCTGCACATGATGTCCAAAACACATTATGATGTTTCATTAACTTTTTTTTCCAGCTTTGACAAATGCAGAACCGTTGTCGGTCACGACTTGGACAACATTATGCTCTCCCACCTCCATGATTACATCCCTCAATAATTTGTAAATATACTTGTAATTCTTTATATGGTCTGAAGCATCAACAGACTTCAGAAAAATTGTCTTGCCCTTGGAGTATACCATGAAGTTGATGATAGATAATCTGGTCGGGCCGGTCCATCCGTCACACATGATTGTGCAACCATTAGTTTCCCACTTTGACCTCAACTTGTTAACATACTCGCCAATGTCTTTATACTCCATATCCAAATATTTGTTTCTTATCTCATAGGGAGTGGGAGGTTGTACTCCAACACCGGCCTGTTGACATCCCACTACCATATTTTTGAAATGATGTGATGAAGCCTTCGCAGCAGGGACATTTTCATAGATAAAGAACTTGCTAATTAGACGCCCCATTCCCTCCTTCACATTACCTCCCTTGAAATAACTCCAAACACTCTTTTGACGTGCGTTGGATGACTTATATAAACTTGGGGCTATTGGTGGTGTTGGTTGTGATTCTCTAAGACTGCCTCCCCGTCTCATTTGTGCACCACCACTTGTCCCGGAACCTTGTCCCCTATTAGGAATTTTATGAAGGTGTTCTCTTTTCCCATGCTGACTGTTTGGAGGCACGTAATGCTTGTTTCAAACTGCGTCGTTCTTCAGGTCCCATGTCATCATCACATTCGTCCTCATCGTCATCCTCATCACTGTCAACCGCTTGGCCATAGACTTCTCCCCGTAGCCCAGCTCGAATATTTTCCATTCCTTGTGTCATCTTTTCCTTCTGCTGTTTTTTTATTTTTTAATAATGTGCTGATGAATGCCTTCACTTCTGGGGGGACATTATCGCATCGTTGGACATTTTTTGATGGATCTAATCCACTAAGATGATACTTCAGTCGTGTCACTCCGCCACTCTTCATTACCCGACCACAATATTTGCAAATTGTGCCATGTTTGTTTCCGTCTATTGGGTCTCCATGTTCCCAAGCTGGATCACGTTTACTTGACATCTTAAACGTACCTATATTTATTTTTTCATTAAAATTAGACAATTATTTTTTGATAAAAATAAGAGAACCTAAATAATAAAGTTATTCTACAGAAGAATTAAATACAAAGTAAAGAAAATGATTGTAAAAAGTTAAGTAATTATACAAATAATATGGAATAATAAAACCTAATATTAATGAATAATAATCCAATTTGATAATAATTCAATTTAATGAATAATAATCCAATTTGATAAAAAAAATCCTAATATAAAACATGGTGATGAATAATAATCCAATTTGATAATAATAATCCAATTTGATAATAATCCAATTTAATGAATAATCCACCAATTTGAAAAAAAAATTATCCTAAATTAAAACATGGTGATGAATCATAATCCAATTTGATAATAATCCAATTTAATGAATAATCCACCAATTTGATAAAAAAATTATCCTAAATTAAAACATGGTGATGAATAATAATCCAATTTGATAATAATCCAATTTAATGAATAATCCACCAATTTGATAAAAAAATTATCCTCAATTAAAACATGGTGATGAATAATAATCCAATTTGATAATAATCCAATTTAATGAATAATCCACCAATTTGATAAAAAAATTATCCTAATATAAAACATGGTGATGAATAATAATCCAATTTGATAATAATCCAATTTAATGAATAATCCACCAATTTGATAAAAAAAATTATCCTAAATTAAAACATGGTGATGAATAATAATCCAATTTGATAATAATAATCCAATTTGATAATAATCCAATTTAATGAATAATCCACCAATTTGATAAAAAAATTATCCTAATATAAAAGAATAATAATCCAATTTGATAATAAAAAAAACCTAATATAAAAGAATAATAATCCAATTTGATAATAAAAAAATCTAATATTAAAGAATAATAATCCAATTTGATAATAAAAAAACCTAATATTAATGAATAATAATCCAATTTGATAATGAAGATGGTAAGGGAAATAAAATAATAAATAATATTAAACATATTAAAATTATCCTAGGGAATAATTATACAACATTACTTAATTACTTAAAACAATTAATATTAACATTACTTAATTACTTACAAAAATTAACATGCAAGTATTAATTACTTAAAAAGATTCACATACGAGTCCACACAAATTTATTTGTTGTTGTATAAATTACAATAATATAAATTTAAGTTTGTAAACTTACCTTAAATATTGAAGCCTTTGTGTTCAAGCTTTGGAATGGATCTGGAATGACTTTGAAAAATGGTAAGGAAAATAAAATAATAAATAACATTAAACATATTAAAATTATCCTAGGGAATAATTATACAACATTACTTAATTACTTAAAACAATTAATATTAACATTACTTAATTACTTACAAAAATTAACATAA